GAGTCTCTTTACACAGTGAAATGAAATACTTTCGAATCAGTGGAGGAGAATAGAGATTTCTCCTTATCGTGAAGTCGTGGAGATACGCGAAAATTGAGATCTCAGCATAATGAAGTTCCCTTAGGCATCTCGAATAGCCTATCAAACTACAATCAGGCGAGAAGGTGGTCTAATTATTTTTCAGCGCAAAATGAGAACAATGAATGCGCTAAGAGTTCTTGAAAGGCTCAGGTCGATATTGTGGAAAGTGATTCATTCTATTTATTCATTCAATGCACAATCAGCGTGGCAGCATTGAGAAAGGGCATAAGTATATATCGTACTGGGTGGGTGATGCTGAAATGAAAGTGAGTATGGATCCTTAAAATAAATAATATCAATTTACACATGTTTGAGAAGTAAACACAAAGGAGCCCAAAGCAAAGTATAATTTGGCTGCAAATAAAGTACGAGAACGGAAGAGGCAAAGCCATGTAAGTGTGATTAATGAATTTAAGTTTTGGTTTCAAGAAGCATTCTAGCTAAGATTCGAATTCCCAAGACAATGTCATAAGCCCTCTGTTAAGATAGATCAGCCAACAAAAGACTCAACCCCAGCAAGCAATAATAGAAGTTTTACACAAGCAAAGTTTTAACAAATTTGCGCTCAAAGTCAAAAACAATGAAGTAAGAAGCAAGTTGTGCCTTGGATTTTGTGGAAATCAAATGAAAGAAAAAAATAAAGCCGAGGCAGAAGTATAGATGGACTCACCTGGAGAGAAGGCAATACACTCAATTTGCTCCCCACCACCGTCTGAGTGAACGGCGATGATCTCGTGCGAGGTGATATCAACCACGAGCCATCGGCCCGAAGCTGTTCCAACCACAACCACCAAGTCTTCCGATGCACTATGCTGAAGAGCTTATTGGATATGAGTGGGCCGAAAAGAGGGAAGGTAGAAAAGAACATGAAAGCGAAATAATAAAACCGATCTGGCGGCAATTTAATTTTTTTCCATGAACTCTGTAAAACTTTGAAGTGTTTGATTGAAATAAGGATTGAGACGAGTAAAAATAGTCATTTGGAAACGGGTAGGCCAAAAATCTGAGAAGATATGTCGGTCAACATCAATAAGCTTATATGACTGCAGAATGAATCATTCAGTCGCATCACGGATTATCAAAACAAAGCCAAGTCTTAGATACGCTGGTCTAAAACAACACTTGATCCTAAAATGCGCGTTAATAGATTACCTTTTAATTGTCAAATGAAGCCTAAAAACTGATTAAATTAAGACAAATTTAAAGGATTTAAATCTACCGCAAGACGTGAGTACATTCGCCACTCAATTATTGCGAGTGATCTTATTCCTATTTCATTTAGATTGTAGAAGGCCAAAAAAGATATTGTCAGAAAATCAAGCAATTGCTTCAAAAATTCAGGAGCAGCAACAAAGGGAATAAAAGTACAACAGGATACGAGAGCTCAAATGCGTCTTTACTTGGTCGTTTCTAAAGCGGAAAATACAGGCTCAGGGATAATAAGGCATACTGAGGAGCATAAAAAAGATTGAACAAGCATGATTACAAGGATTAGAGCCACGAGACTTTAAAGTGCAATGGTTTGACCTGAATATGGTTGTACGAAAGATATCATCCTGTAATGATGTTTGTCATATGAAAGAAGAAAGCCTAGAAAGTGTTCATCGGAATCGAAGAAGATTGTCTCGAAAACTGGGTCAGTGAAAATTTTACAGTTAAGCCGACCGATTGATGGCCAAGAGGAATCTGCGTCGTCTTCCGGTGGAATCGACTTCTAATTCTCTTTATCCAAAACTAACTAGAAATTGAAGTGAGCTTAAAAAGTATAGGGAAATCAGTATAATATGGAAATTATTTAATAAGCTGAGCAAACTGCAGTAAACTGAGATGCTAAAATAAGGATAACAACGCTAACGCAAAAGCATCTGGAATGCTGGTCTGGGAGCGAAGCTAAAGCAAGCCATCCAGATTTTCTATTTATTTGAGAGGGATCTTTTAGAATCATTCTGGCATTATAATAATAGTATCATTGTACGATTTTTTTTGACCAAGTTACAGACCCTTTATGGAGGGTGTATCGCAGCCAAGTAAAAAAAATATACAATAGGAGGGCTTGTCTCGCCCGAAGGAAAGATCATCTCCACTCTGCCACTTAATTGAAATGTAAGGATGTAAATGTACCCTTAGCGGCTAGACACAAGACGAAGTGTTACTAAATCCCTTGTGCTTGTGGAGGTATAAGGAAACCATTTTGCTGTGGTGGAGGAATTTCTATCGAGATCTGTCTCAGTATAGACCAGGCATGTGAGTTCGGCCTAGATTGGTCTCACCTTGAAGTAGATGAATGGCCTATATATGACAAACGGAATTCAAGCAGGTTTTTTTCAGATTTTATTGGTAATGTTCACAAACATTACTAGTGGAAGCAAAATCAATCTCATATTTGCGAAATGATGAGAATAATAGTATTACATCATTCACATGATTTAGATGGATGGAGAACAAATATAAACCACATTTTGTTTTTACCTGCAAAAAATAGAAGGTTTTAGTGACGCTTTCTATCACATCCGCTGCCAGTGAGGCAAAAGAACAAATATAGATAGGAAAAGGAATCAGTGCAGTATGTAGATGGTGAAGATGTCCTTGGTATATGCCAACAGACCGAAAAGTTGAAGAGTAGGAAAAATATTCTAAAACCGCCTTGAAGATCGGAACATCCAGACTTTCATATTTGCAAATCTATACTTAGCTTAAAACAGAGCAAAAAAAGTCACGAAAGGAATAAAGAACAGGCCTACCATTCGTGTCGCCCTCTGCCGTTCCGTTGACTTTGCTTACGAGGACCGGGTAGAATGCAGCACAGTGTATTTCCTCGGTGAGCTCTTTAGACCAAATGACCCGACGTGAAAGCGCATCCCAGAGGAAGATGGTCTTATCGCGGCCACCGGAGAGGAACTGGTGTGTCACTGGATGCACTGCCAAGCCCCATAATTCGTCTGTGTGGCCTTGTACGATGGAACTCATTTGCCCGTCTAAACTTAACTAGAGGTAAGTAGAAATAGAGAGAAGAAGAAAAAGATTGAGCGATAGAATGGACTAAGTAAGATCCTCTTGAATGATATGAATAACTTGGTACACATACGCCAGCGAGGGGGACAAAGGTATCCTAGATAGACCAGTCCCACCAAGGAAATGTAGCTAAATTTTTCAGTTTACTCCCATTTAGAACGAAAGTGTTTGGACATTGCCTCGGAAACAGCGTCAACAAAAATGTTTTTAGTAAAGCCGATAAACAGCTGATCCGGAGGAATCGGCCATCCACTTCTGATGGGATCAGGATTCGAATCTCTTCACCATATACCTTCAATCTAAATGGAAGTGAGCTGAATAATTGAGCCGAGGTTCCTCGGAAGTAAATATGTCCAACTCGTTGTCAATCAATGTATTATGTTTTCATGTTATGGAATTTATTCCCCAAGATTATCAGTTCTCAAAAGGTATTTTTTGAAAAATATTCATCTCTATTTGAGTTTGCCATGGCACTAATAAAGAATGAGAAAATAAATCATAGCAAATTGCTACTAGCCAACTAATATCCACACTTGTTTAAAATAGGGCGAAGTGACGCAATGCGGCAAAAGCAACAGATTATTAGAACTTTAGGTTTCATTTATCAACAAACAATACAATATGTATCTAGTTACTTCTTCCATCCCCTCCTGAAGAGAATCTAGTAAATAGCCGAAAAAAGAAAGGCACATGTGACCGATTTAGTTTGAGATATTTTTTCTTATAACCAGTAGTCCAATAAATACGGACTCAACGCTTATAGAGGTGCTTTTTTAAAGGGTATAAAAGATAAAGCGACGGCTAGCGAGGATCTCAAAAGGAAAAGCCGATAGCAATGATACTAGAAAGAAGGCTCCACCCGCTCACAGCTAAATCATCGTCATCCTCCTCTAGCCCCATAGAATATCCGCAAGTCTATTATAACCCCTATAATTACATATTTTGTTCTTTGAAAGAGTCGTCTTTCTGTTCAAATCGACTCATGTTTTAGGATTCTGGTAGGCTGCATCTATATAAGAAATATTGGAAGATGTGTCTGTGAAGTCAGATAAGTCAAAATAATGTGCCTCAATACGTTCAAAAATCTTGAGCAGCCGAAGTTGCCATTTATAAAGTTAGCTCAACATCAAAACAGCTTAATACATTGTTCAAGAGATAAGCAACCTTCTTGTTTTGGGGAAGAAGGCGAAAACTATTGCAGTAATACCAAGCTTAAACAAATGCAACCCACGTCTCTGGTTTGAGGTAGCCGAGTTAAGCTTTGACATAATGGATTATGAGTAAGACTCAACCCCTAGTTGCCGTATAACTCCAACCAAACAACATCATTAATCGAATTCATCATTTAGTGCAGTCTTTACGAGGTACGAATTGTTGGACACTTGAGTCGATTACGTATTGAGAACAAAGAATGGATGATATGCTGTCACAAATATGTCAGTCAAATGGATCATCTACTGATCTTAACAAGGCAAGACGACTAGCCCGAATGAAAGGAATACCAATGGTTTTGAAAGCTTTATGGGGCCAGTATTTGAAGGAACATACCAAGGTATCTATTAATATGAAAGATATAATCATCACTAACGACGGCCGAAGGAAGACCACAGAAATGGAAGCTAATAATAATACATATGCTTATATCTTTTTAAGCCTTGCAAATAAAATTAGGTCGTGAAGACACTCGCTTTCTACAGACCACAGCGCGAGCTCTAACTTCAGTTCCAATGCATGGGGCTAAGCTTCTCCATATTTGTAGCAAAATGACCACAAATTACCCATGCTCGAAAGCAGAGAAATGGCACGAGTATCGGCGATAGCCTGTTTGAAGGTTACGATATATCGGCGATTATTTTTCATCTATGAAAATAGCCTAAATAATAAACTGCTCCAAAGGTCAGCGATAAAAGATACAAGAATCAGTCATTCTCTTCGGTTGTTGCTGGTTAACATCCATTGGGTTCCGATAGTTGGTGGAAATGGTCTCGCGAGGTTTAAACGGTGTATTTGACTACGCCAATAATATCCTTATCGTCAACAGAATCAGAAGTCTCCGTATGAAAGGTTACACAAAATCACTTGGTTATCTCGCTTTAAAGCATTCTCGGTGTCTCTTAATTAAATATACTAATGAGAGTGGCATGGCAGATGGACGTCTTTATTTTTGAAAAGTTTGCCTTTTATTCATCCAGACAGACATCTGAAACGACAGTGAGTGGAACTTGCACTAAGAGCTACCCAGTTCCGTGAGTAAAAACAATAAGAATTCAAGGTATTAGGCTCAAAAAGAGTGAATATCGCAAAAAATCTGGGTAAAAAAGTTTGATGGCTACTAAGATCAAATGTTCGTATGCTAGTACGAAAACCTAAGTCATAAGAGGACACTCAGGGCTTGCAAAGCTAGTCCCTACAGCCTGGAGGAAGAATAATTATAGATATGTAACTCAAACTTTGGTATGGTATATCAAGAAAAATAAAAATTGTGAACTAGATCTAAGGCGGAGTAATTAAAAAATCGCAAAACTACTAAAGGATCATCACGTAATGACCCAAAACCCAATTAGATATAATTGATAGCAATGATACTGATAACCCCAATTACATAGTGGTTAAAGGTACATGGTAGTTCCCTTAACGTTTTAGGGTGCTATATTTGAATCATTAATATCAAATTAGAGATAAAGATAGATTTTACCGTATCGTATAATACCATCAAAGCTCATATATAAAAATGAGGATAACTGGCAGGACTTCATTACTAGTGGTCAAAATATCAATCCCTCAATCCATATGGCCTGACAGCCAAAGATAAATGGCACTTTTTAAAAGTAAAGATTTTGTAGGTACCAGCTGAATAATGGAATTTTTGGTGGTCCCCACAAGTAGCATATCTCCAGGACCCTGGGCAATCGTTCGAATAGGTCCGTAGCCCTCGGGTGACTCGAGCTCCACGCCTGTACGGTTATATGAAGTGTCCCACTGAATAATGCGTC